CCACCTTGTGCCAGTTCCCCCATTGCACTTGGGAAGATAAGTGGTATTGTAGATTCACAGCTGAAGAGGCATTTTGTCCCAGGATGAAATATGGACATTCACAGTTGATTGATGAGTTTCGGGATGATAAGACGGGTGAAAGTGTTTTGCATGCAGCAGTGGCATGAGTCTTGGTCATGGCTGTCATGGATTGAGTTGTATCCCCACAAATATTGTCCGTTTGGCTGGACCACATAATGGTTTGGCAGCTATGTAACCAGGCGCTTCCCTCCCCACGAGCAATCTGTTGGGACCAGTCTATCGGTTGTAAAGGAGTTGGGGTGAGATACTCAGGCCGCAGCTCTGATCCGCAAAAGGGGGGTTTCCCTGGTCTTAGGCCTGTATCACATTTTACGTTGTAGGAGATAATGGGAGAGAGACTCAAGCAGGAGTGAGCGGCTTGACTCAACGGAGACAGAAAGGTCAAGAGCACAGCACCTCCGTTGTACCCAGTCCCTACACCGAGAACCCCTGAGGCTCAGGAGAGGGCTGGTACCAAGACTCACGGAGATCCTCAAGGACCGTCAGGCCCATCGACGTGGAAAGCAAGATGAAGCACCATCACAAACCAATGGCCCAGCCACACTGACACTATTGTAGAGATGCCATTCAATCCATGACAGGCTATCTTTGTCCCCCTAAAACGCATGTCATGTCAGCACCAACAGGGAAAAAGCCTGCTCCCTAGAGTCAGCAGCCTGAATTCGAACTTCTAGCCTCTTAAACTGTGGGAGGATATGTTTCTGTTTGCTAAAGCCATCCACCAAGGTATTTCTGTCTCAGCAGCACTGCATAACTGAGACACACCTTTCTGGGGGCAGGGTTAGGGAACCCGTAGACCGAGGAGAACCAGAACCGGACTTATGTGGATTAAATAAATAGAGGTGATACTGTTCTATGCTTAAATTTGGGAAACTGCAGTCAGGGATAGATGGACGGCTCCTGAGTTGGGTAGCACCCGGAGACCTCTCTGCTTCCCAAGTGTTGAGCTCCTTTGGAGTTTGGGGAAAGGCTGGAAACACAAACATTTTTAAAACTGCCCAGAGATATTTTTAACCTTCTTCAACACAGTATTGCATACTAGGTCAGATGCCTCTTTCCCCAACAGCTAGGAAAACGAATGAGTCAGGGGAATTAAAAAGGATAGAAAGCAAGCGAGAGGTGTCCCTGCCGGTGCTGAGATTCACTGCTATCCACAAAAATAAATGCATTTAGAGGCCGGAAATCAAAACCAAGCCCCATTCTGGGCAGAGGCGAGGAACCACAGGGCTCCCGAGAGACAGGCTTTTATCCGTCATAGGAACATGTTACCACATTTTTTTTACAAGCCACCTGAGAGGTATCCAAATGACGCTGCTCCTCTGGGTGAGGGGAGGCAACGATGACAGGTCTGAACTTCAGAAACACCGCACACAGCTGTGCGTAGGTAGCAAGGCCGCAGAGGAGGTTCGGTGTGGGCAAGTGAAGGAAAACTGCACCTGGGGGGAATCGTCCTTAGAGAATGAGGGGATGTAGGCTATGAAGTGAAGGAAGGTCACTGCAGAGGGGACACACTGCCCCATGGGCTGCTGTCTCTCTCTCTCTCTCACACACACACACACACACACACACACACACACACACAAGCCAAGGCACAGGCCCCAGCAACTCAGACAGCACAGCTCTGCCCTCACACGAGGCAGAAGGCATCTGCTCCCAGAATAGCCCGGGCAGTTCGGTGGCTGCATTTCAAGAGACCTGACAGCTGCAAACAGGCCAGACAAGGGCAGCTAACGTGATCAGAGGATGCGGGCCAGTCTCGACGAGGAGAGGCTGAAGGAATTAAGAGCACTGTCTGCGGAGACCAAAGCGGGGCGCAGAGGCGGCACGGCGCACTTCCGGAATCACAAAAGGTGAGAAGCGGTCACATGCCAATCTCCCTACAGAATTAGCACTAGCCAGTTCCCCCAGGGAGCCGGGACAAATAAAATCAGGAAGTACTTGACACAATAGGTAGTACACTTCTGGAATCCATTACCCACCGGAAGTCAGAAAGGCCAAAAATATAAAAAGGTCCCAGAGAACTGAGATGTATTCTCGGAGGACAGCTCTACAATAATTATGAGTATAATTGAAGGCGATGTCTAATCTTGGGAGCTGCTGACAGGGAGACAAAGCCTTGGAGTGGAGAGGCCCAAGGGAGGCTGCTCCTTGGTCTACTCAGGACCCCTGGAGCGGGGGAGACAAAGGCAACGGGGGCTCACTGATTCCCACTGGCCCCAGGACTAGTTCTCTGGGGAAACCTCAGAAGGCACTGAGCTGCCAAGGTGGGTGGGGAGGAGATGGGTGCTACTGCAGCATGGGACAAACACTGTAGATGCACACTAGGGGCAAGGCGTGCCCCTGGGGTTAGGGCTCACGTTCCTTGGAGCATGGCTGGGCACAGGGGACATCCTATGGAGGTCTGAGGACATTGTGATCCCCGCCCCCCTTGGGCACAGACCCCAGAAGGCCTCTACAAACCCCTGCGCCTGGAGGGCCAGGAAAAGGCAGGAGAGAGCGCCTGACTGACGTGACGGGTGACGAGGTGACCCACCTGAGTGTTCTGTGTGGGGATCTGGAGGACCAGCGCCAGCGTGTTGTGGTCGAAGTTCTCGTCGAGGGCCAGCAGGGCACCGTGCACACCACTCTCGTGCAGGTTCCCCGCATAGTCCCGCAGCCCGATGGACTGGACCCAGTGAACCACCTGGTCGTTAGTCCAGACCAGCACATCTGGAGGGTGGGGGAAGAAAAAGGGCAAAGCAACAGGTTGGCCGAGGCCCCTCTAAGGACAGAGAAATGGTGCTACCCAGACGCAGAGCCCCACTTCCCCCTGCTCTCTAGTTCCCACACGTTTCTGCCCACCAGGGCAACTGGGCGCTGGAGAACCATCTCCACCCACCTCGTTCCATCCCTGCCAGCCTGACCTCAGCTGCACCGCAAAGCCAGGGCACAGGGCATCCCCCTGCTGCCAGGCTGGAATGGGCCTTTGTCCAGTCGTGCCCACTGTCTGGTGTGGAGGAGGGCACGGGTGTTACAGCCACCTGGCCAGGGGCTGTTTCTTCTCCGTCAAATGGCAGCTGCCTTTGGGCATGGCTGTTGCCCCCTTCTCCCCCCATTAGACCAGAGTTCCTTAGGGCTCTGAGAGGCCAATCTTTCCTCTCTGAGCTGGAGCTTTCCGAGGCACAGAACGCTTTCTCTGCTTGACCCCCCCCCCCCAAGGGTCCCGGGGCAGGTCCTACTCCCATGCCCTTCCCAGGAGGCCCCGCTGAGCCCGAGCTGGAGCCTTACCCCTGATCTCGTGCTGGCTCTCCTCCCGCCTCTTCTCCAGCTCCTTGCGGTCATAGTTCAGCCTCTTCAGACACATGATGCCGTACTGAAGACTGGTGCTGTGGGCACACGGTACCCTGAGCCCCAGCCTTGGGGGGCCCCATTCCCACCACACCCGTCCCGGCACACCCAGATCTGGCCACAGCATGTTCAGGCTATTTTTCCAGTAAATGAGCACCCGCAGGCATTCAGGCGCCTTCTTTTCCCAGCCGGTGCCTTAGACCAGGCGTCCTCAAACTACGACCCGCGGGCCACATGCGGCCCGCTAAGGACATTTATCCGGCCCGCCAGGCGTTTTTGCCCCATTTGTTTTTTACTACAAAACAAGATCTGTGCAGTGTGCATAGGAATTTGTTCATAGTTTTTTTTTTAACTATAGTCTGGCCCTCCAATGGGTTTGAGGTACAGTGAACTGGCCCCCTGTTTAAAACATTTGAGGACCCCTGCCTTAGACCCATCATCCCAGGGCCACTTCCTTGCTAGAGGGACTGACAGGAGGTTGAATGACATTGACATGCCCCCTCCCCTCCGACCCTGTGCTTGGAGCTGAAACAAAGACCCTTATGTCCTGCAAGTCAAATTGTACCCCCATTTCACTCAGAGCCCTCACAATGGCCTTCAAGGTGCTCCCTGATCTGCCTCCTTCTCTGTCTACCCTCCCTTGGACCACTCTCCCCGTGTCTGCTGCATCCCCAGTGTCCCCGCACCTGGGCATATGCTCGACACCCATGCGTGGGGCCTTGGCACTGCCTGTTCTCTCAGCCTAGAGCATTCCTCCCCCAGTTTGCTGCATGGCCCTTTAAATCTTTGCTCAAAGGTCACCTTGTCCATCTGATTTGAGCTAGAAACAAACATCACTCTCCCTAATTCCATACTCCCAAGCGCCTTCACTGTTCCTACCAGGGCCGGCTGCCTCGGTTTCAACGCATCCGCCTGATCCTGGGTCATCCTCCTCATTGTCCCCACGTGTAAGCTCACTTGTGCAGTCACCCCGCCAGCCCGTCTTGGGGAGGGTCTTCCTCTCCGTCACTGGCCCTCTCCTTCACTGAGGGTGCTGTGCTTCTCCAGGCATTTGTGCCTCCTGAGATGGCATCACCAACCTCACTTCCACGGAGCATTCTGGCTAAACCTCTTCCAAGACAGACTGGTTCACGCTTACCGCCGTCCACGTATTTTTCATGTTCTTTGTCAAGACTAAAGTCCTAAGGCATCGAGTCTTGCTCAGTCGTCCTTGGTCATTGTCCAGCTTTTGCATACCTATGAGGTAACTAAACAATACTATGGCTTGGATGAGGCCTACCTTAATCCCCAAAGGGACATCTTTGCCTTTCGACACTTGGAGGAGATCTTTCGCAACAGGCTTATCTACTGCAATAAGCTGATTTTTGACTGCTACTTCCATGCCATTCATTGCAGACCCGAGTAAAAGAAAATCCTTGACAACTTTAGACTTTTCTCCATTGATCACGATGCTGCTTGTGGGAGCAGTTGTGACTGTTATTGTTTCTTGATGTTGAGGTGGGACCCATACGGAAGGCCATCATCTGACCGTCATCAGCGAGTGTTTCAAAGTCCTCCTTGCTTTCAGCAAGCGACGTTGTACGTCTGCGTGATGTGAATGGCGTCTTTAACCTCACGTTGTTCACGAATCTTCCTCTAGCCCTGATGTCTTCTTCAGAGTCCTGCTTCCCAGAGGCCTGGATCATGCAGACTGAGTACGTTTGGTGAAAGGATGCATCCCTGGTACACACCCTCCCCAATGCCAAGCCACATAGGAGCCCTTGTTCTGCTTGAAGAATTGCTTCTTTTTGTGTTTGTTTTTTTAATCATTTTACTGGGGGCTCTTACCACTATCCGTCCATCCATCCATTGTGTCAAGCACATCTGTACATTTGCTGCTATCATCATTTTCAAAACGTTTTCTACTTGAGCCCTTGGTATCAGCTCATTTTTTTCCCCCTCCCTCTCCCACCTTCCCTCAAAGAATTGCGTCTTGATCTACCTACAGGTTCCATAAGAGTGCCCTTAAATGTTCTGGAATTCTCCTCTATTTTGCAGCGGTGGCTATAGTATGTTATGATCCACATAGTCAAATTCCTTTGTACAGTCCATAAGACACAAGTAACATCTTGTTAGTACTCTCTGCTTCCAGTCAAAATCCATCTGACGTCCACAGTGGAACTGTTCATTCCGCACATGCTCTTCTGAATCCCACATGAGTTTCTGGAATGTCCCTGTCCATGTACGGCTGCAATTGGTTTTCCATTCTCTTCAGCAAAAATGTGCTGGCATGTGAGACTGATGATATTGTTTAGTCATTTCCACATTCCGCTGGATCACCTCTCTTTAGAATGGCTCTCTTCCAGTCAGTTGGCCAGGTAGCTGTCTTCCAAATTTCTTGGCATCAATGAGTGGGCACCTTCCAGCCCCACATCTGTACTGGCTGAAACTTTCCAATTTGTCGTCTGTCTTCCTGCAGACTTCGCCAAGGCCTTCAGTGCGGCAGAGACGGTTCCCTTTACTGCCACAGGTTCACGATCCTTTGCTCCCTCCTGGAAAGGATGCACATCGCCCGACTCTTTTGGGTACCATGGCTCTGTGCATTCCTTTCATTTTCTTTCTTTAAAAAAAATTATTCATACACTTATGTCAGCACAAACACAATCGTTGATTAATCAAAAGGATGATCCGAATCAAGTCAACACTTTGAAAGAGTCGTATGCAAAATGTGTGTAGTAGAAGAAATGGAATATAATAATTAAAAAAGAAAAAAAGCAGTAGGGAGATTTGCTCATTGAACCAAGCTGGTTCATGCTCACAGCTAATTCCTGCCCAAATGAGGGTAGCATTTTTATTCTACTTTTTCATAACACACCCCATTTTCCATCGCCCAGGGTTCCGGTGAGTGAGCCCATTTTCTTCTGATGCTCCCTGCACGGCTCAAGAGTTTGCTCAGGCTGCTGCTGCTGCTGTCAGGTGCACGTCGCACTGCGAACAGCACAATGAAACGGCCCGGTTCCCGCCGTCCTCCTGATGGTGTGGCCCACTGCGGGGTCACTGCCAAACCCTCTCCCTGGTGGTCTTCCTCTTTCCAGCCACCACTAAAACCCTCTGCTGTTGCCACTGGAGGCCTGGACGTTGTCCTTTCATTCGTTCAGCCTGTGGGAGCCGAGCACGCACTTCCGTGTGGTTTTCTGGCTCTGGGTCTCGGCACACGTGCTCATCATACTTGGTCTTCTCGAGCTGCCCTTCGACATCTCCTGGTCGCCTCTGTGACGTCATCGTTTCTTCCATTTGCTTTAGTGACTTTACACTCAAGAGCGAGTTTGAAATGCTCTTCTGACATCTGTGTTGGCCTTTTCTCTCCTGCCTGTCTTTTTTAATGACCTTTGATAGTCTGTAGACAATGTCCTTGATGTCCTCCCACAAGTCATCTCGCCAGTCAGCCTGTTCCTGAAACAGTATCTAAGCTCAGGTGAGACATACCCAAGGTCCTACTTTGGCCCTCTTTGGGCTTGTTTTCATTTTGTTGGGTTTCAACGTGAACTTCCACATGAATAACTGATGGTACAAGTGATGGTAATGAGTTTTTCTCCATCATCTCTTTGCACGGAAATAGAACAATTATTCTATTCCTATGAATTCCATCCTGGGAGATTCATGTGTATAGGCACATGTAGTTGGAAAAATGCACGTGCAATGAGTAAGCCATCAGCCTTGCAAAATTCTATCATGCGGTCTCTAGCATCGTTTCCATCACCAACGCCCCATTTTCCAACTACAATCCCTCTCCATTTCCAACATTTGCATCCAATCACCAGTAACTGTGGCGGCATCTTGATTACATGTCTGATCAATTTCAGATGGAGAAGTTAATAAAAGTCTTCAATTCCCTCCAGCATTATTCATATGTCTATGCATGTATGTGTATATGTATGTGTGTATACTATGTAGATGTATGTGTATGTGTACATGGACATGTATATTCCAGTTGCTGTCTAGTCGACTCTAGCCCATGTGTGTCATTGCAGAATGGGGTCCCACAAGGTTTTCAATGGTTGGTTTAAAGTTTTCTTCCAAGTTTCCTCTGGGTCAACTTAAACTTCCAACCTTCATGTTAACAGCCAAGCACATTAACCATCTGTACCACCCAGGGACTCCACACCTCCATATATGTATACACACATATGCGACGTCTCTTGTTCTTTGCCTGTCTCTCACAGAATATGAGCTCTCATACGGAGACGGGTGTATTTTGTTCATTGCTGTCTCTCAAACCCCTGGCATAGTCTCGGGGCTGTAGTGCCCCTGTCGTAGGTAGGCACTCCATAATGTTAAATGAATTAAACAACATCCTCTGTGAGAGATCCTAAAAGTATCTGGGCAAGCCAGGCACACGGTAAGTCCTCAGTAAATCGTAAGTAGGCAGGCTGAGAACCACAGAGCCTGGGCTCCAGAGGACCTAGCAGGTTGTGGGAAACAGAAGGATTTCTCCCAAGTTTTCTCCCCCAAATATATGCCAGCCTTAGCTGCTTGAGAATGACTATACACTTGGAGGTCATCAGGGGTGGATTAGTGGTCATTCTCCCTAAGAGCTATCAGCCGTCTAGACCGAGCAGACACCACTGTTTATTCCACAACAAGTAGGGCCCACTCCCTTCTGATAAAGATAGTACTTGTCTGTTTCCTTGTAGGAGACACCAGAGAGGTCAAACCCGCCCAAGGATGACCAAGCTTAGGCTGCCATCATGAATCTAGGGTCTGCCCATCTTGTCAGATGTATACCCCTAGACCTTCCCATTCCTATGGGCACATCCATAGCTCATCACCTTCCTGTTATGCTTATGCCTATCATAGATCCACTTCCTACAATGTGTATGCCTATTGTACTGCCCCTTCCTGTGACGTGTGGTTACCTGTAATGATGTCCCCCTAAAGAGATAATGCTGGGTTAGCAATAAAGAAAGAGCTCTCCCCGGTCCTCGGGCCTGGAGGCTCTCCCCGGTTCTCAGTCCCTGAGGCTCCCTCCTGCTCTCGTGGCCGGGTGGGCTCCCCCCACGTGGACCACCAAGCGGGGCTGAGGTGAGCATGCTATCATGAATTGTGTCTGACTCCATTACTTGACTCTTCTACCACTCATGCTCTCTATGGCTTTACTATAATCTTTACTTATTATTGTGTACAATTGCGCCTACCGGACTGTGATAATTTGTGGGGAACCCTCTCCCTTCGTCCCACAGCAGGTCATCCAGCCCGAGCCCCCGCCTGATGCGGGGTCCCCTGTGCAACTTCATGCTGAGCAGTCTCTGAGCTGTGCTGAGCACACATCCAGGGACCGGAACTCACAGCTCACCGCATCTTAGGGCAGCTCCCAATTCAGTGCCCTTCCTTCACTTGAACCGTCTCATTCTGTCTCTCTGGGGTTTGTCCTCAATAAAGTGAAAAAAAACAAACCAAAAACCCAGAGGTCCCCCAATGCCAATTGAGGCTTTCTGAGATAAGAGTCGGCAGATGGGTGGCCTTCTTCTCTCACCTCAGCTCAGCCCACACAGCCCCCCTGCCTAGAACCTACCCTTCCTTGGAGCCTAGGGCCACAGCTTCGAGGACCCTCTTCTGGTTCAAGCTACCTACTCGTGGTTCAAGCCACTAGTTTAAGCCTCAGTGCGCTCTGAGGGGACATGAGCACCCTATCCCACCCTCCAGCCCCCCCCCCTGAATAGAAATGCCCTCTGTCTAGTTTCCATCTCACCTTCTGTCATTGCTCTATCTGTTCCCCTGACCCTTAAAGCTGCTGCGAAGGGCAATGAGTTGCATCCCCTCCCCCCATAATGTATAGGATCCTAGGCCTCCACCTGGGGGGCTGATCCTGTTTGGGCCTAGCGTTTTCGCTGATGCTAAGGGGTCAGGGGTCAGGCCAGCACAGTAGGTCTAAAGCTAGCCGCTCCTGAGCAAGAGAAGCACAGCCACAGAAATGAGCAAACACAGGGAGCTCGGTGCCCGTGGAGGTTACCAGGAAGCGAGGAGCATGCGGGCTACAGAAGCGGAAAGAGACAAGGTCTTCCCCTGGGCCAAGAGGGAAAGCGGTCCCCTAGTTAGTGCCCTGAACTCAAGACCCCCAGGCTCCTGGTCTTCAGGGCTGGCCCCTGTGGTATAGACCCCTGTCACAGCACTACGAAGAGACTGAGACTCACCACACAGTAAGACTGTGCAGCCTTCAGGTCAGCTCGACCTCAGTGTGCATGCCAGTCCTGCCTCCGACTGGCTGTGTAGCACTTAGCCTCACCCAGCCTCAGTTTCCCCTTAGGAGTTGGAGGGAAGTCCATGCCTCTCTTGCAGGGCTGTTGTGAGGATTCAAGCTGATGATGACTGGAGGGGGTTAGCCCTGCTTCTGGAACATCAAACCCCAAAACCCAAACCTACTGCCATCACGTGATTCGGATCCATGGAGACCCTGTAGGGCAGACTGGAACTGCTCCCTAGGGTTTCTGTCTGTACATCTTTACAGGGGCAAACCGCCTCGTCTTCCTCCCACAGAGTGGCTAGTGGGTTCGAAATGCTGACCTTGCAGTGAACAGCCTGGTGCTAACCCACAGCACCCTCACCCCCACCCCCACCCCCGGGGCCACACCACAGGCACGATGTAAACGGCGCCACCGTGAGGATGAGTTTCTGATAGTCGTATGTGCCAAACCAAAACACTCCTGCACAGCAGCGCATTACGCTCTGAGGAGAGAACTCGCAACTGCTTGGCAAGAGGTAGGGGTGTCGCCTCTTTCCACAGGCACCTGGGCGGGGTGGCTGGGTGGAACTCTAATAGCCTCTATGGACTGGTTTCCCCCGTCTATAAAATGAGAGTTTAAAAAAAAGTCCCTTCCCCATAAAAAAAAGGGTTTTAATAGAATTTCTAGAGACATCAGATGATACTTATAATCAATAAAATTAAAATGGTTTAGAAGCCCTGCAGTGCTCATGATTTTAAGGCTGATGTCTTGGGATTCTGGGGCCCAGGATTCCCTCCCGGAGAGCGGGCAGTGGTCTCAAGGAGGGTGTCCATGGTCCTATGTGGGCCTGAAGGGGTACTGGTGGCCCTGAGGGGTAATTATTGGGCTTCTGGCAAATCAGCAGTTCAAACTCATCGCTTGCTCCTCAGGAGAAAGAGTTGGCTGCCTGCTTCCCGAAGGGAGTTAGAGCCTCACAAACCCCACAAAGCGGTTCTCTTCCATCCTGTAGGTGGCTAACGGACTTGCGAGATGGGACTGGGCTGACTGACCTCCATCAGGCCAGGCACATCCCCGCTCTGATGGGCAAACGGCCCTTGTGTCCTGTCCATCAATCACTGGGAAGGGACAGGTGCAGCTGGTCTGGCAGGCTGTTGTACAGACAAAAGACTCCCTTTCAGCCCAGTGGTCACGGAGGGACGGTGTGGAGGGGAGGAGGCAGGCTTCCCTCACAAGTCAGCCCTTGTGCATGGGGCCAGGCAGGCTCGGCTCCAAGGCAGGCAGCTGGGCTCCGAGGTAGGAGCATTGAACTTGGGAGTCAGGAAGCCTGTGTTCCAGCCTCATGTTGCCGTCGTCCCCGTGAAACCTTGGGCAGGTCTTCCTATGCCTCAGTTTCCTTATCCATAAAATAAGGAAAGTAACTAGATCCCTGTGGGGCCTCTGTGGTTCCAGGTGGAGCCCCTGGTTTGATTCCCAGCCGTCACTCATGGTCAGTGGAGGTTTGAGAGTGGCTATGGCGGCTGACGAGGTTTCAGTGGAGCTTCCAGACTCAGATAGACTGGGAAGAAAAGTCTGGCGATGTACTTCTGACCAGTCAGCCAGTGAAACCCCTCTGGATGGCAGCGGTTCGACCTACCATCGATCCTGGGATGGCATGGGGCCAGTGTTTCCTTCCATGATGCATGGAGCGGGCCTGAGGCTGGCGTGGTGGCAGCCAACACCACCAACCCGTCCAGTTGGCAGTGTCTGTGGCATCTACAGAGCCCGGAGGGAGCCTCGAAAAGCCACAATCCCCCAGCCTCACTTCTTGTCCTACTTTTCCCTCAAAGCAAATGATATGGCTCCAACAACATCCTATAGATTTGCAGTGGGGTATTAAGAAGGGCTTCCTAAGACGTGTCAACTCCTGGCACCACTACCACCCAGCTTGCTATCCAGTTCAATGCCAACTAATGACAAAGGCCAAGCAGGTAGCATACCCTAGTAATGTAGTAGGGCGTGGAGGGGCACAAGAGAAAAGGGGGGGTCTGGGTGTGCCTGCTCTGTCTTCAGAGTGCACCCAGCCCCAGCTGTCTGCTTCCATGCTGACATGGGCTGGTGGCACGTTCCATTTTTCCAGAGAAGCCAGAAATCTAGAACGTGATGTAAAATCTCCGGATTTTGAAGTTGGAATTCTGGCAACCACATTCATACTTCTTAAAACACTGGGCAGGCCAAACAAAACACACATCTATGGGCCAAGCCCTGCCCCCGGTGTCAGTTTGGGCCCTCGGTCACTGTCTCTTTCAAACAGATCTCTTCAGCAAAGTGCAGGCGGCGAAGATGGGATGGCATCCTACACAAAAGGGTATAGGTTCGAAACCGAGGCTCGGTCAGCATTGGTGCTACAGTGGTAAGCACAGCTGCCTTCCAACACCGAGGCTCAGACCCTGGGTGCTGGAGGAAGGGCCATAAAGACCTCTCTCCTCAGCTCAAAGGGAACTGCCAAACCTGGTGCCATAGAGTTGGGGCCAGCTCACAGCCACCCCGCGTGCATCAGAGTAGAACTGCTCCACAGGATTTTCAGTGCTTTCCCAGCTATTGGCTGCCAATTTGCAAGGTCAGTGGTTCAAATCTACCAGCTGCTCTGCAGGAGAAAGATGAGGCTGTCTGCTCCAGTAGAGATTCACTGTCTTTACCACCCCAGAGAGGTCTGCTATGAGTCAGAAGTGACTCGGCAGCAGGGATGTTTTGGATTAGATGTTGGGTTGGGCTAGAATCTTCTTGGGGTCAATGTACACAAGTCCAAATGCAGACTCACCAAGCCCAAAGACAAGAACCTCAGACCTAGGAGGGAAACAACTTTGGGTATCTTAGAGCTTAGAGGGGAGGCAGGTTACACCCTCAAACTAGAGGACAAGACAAGGATTCAACCAGGGAGACTCTGGGCATGCAGAACAGGCCACAGAAAGGACGGAGGAGGGCCTGGGTTCCTGCCGCACTCACCGGTGGAAGCTGTCCACCATCTTCAGGTGCACCCGCAGGTCCTTCTTGGTGAGGTGGTCCAGCATGCGGGCATCTACCAGGCACTCCATGAAGTAGCTGCGGTACTGCGGGAGCCCCAGGCTCGGCAGCCACTCGTTGCCGATCCACTCGTGGTTCATGTCCCCATAGGCCAGGGTCTGAGGGAGCAAGATGGGCAAGGCGGTGGGCCAGATTGGCAGCACCAGCAGCTTGTAGTGGACACATCTGGTTGGGGTTACCATGAATCCATTCCCCATGTGTTAGGAATAAGAGCAGCTCACTAAAATTTCTGCATATTCCCACTCAGAGCCTGGGAGAGGTGGGAAATGGGGAGTTGAAATGGAACACGCTCCGGTCTTAAAATGACAAAATCCCACGGATGATTTCCCAAGTGAATGAACAAGCAGAAGCAATTACCAGGGCCTTGAAAGGCCGCTCTCTTCAACTTGGGTGCGGGTTGGGGGGTGGAATTAAACATCTAAGTGAGATTCTGGGTTGGGGGTGGGTCGTCTTAGGGTAAACAAGCCCAGGACACCCAAAGACCAGTACAGAGATTGCTTCTGGGCAGCAAGGAGCATGGGCTCTTCCTGCCGACTCTGGAACGCATGTGTGCTACCCTACTGCAGACCTGCCTCCCGGATTCTAGGGGTCCCCCTGGGCCCAGAGCCTGGGCTGTGTGGTAGTGGGCATGGGGAGAGGTGGAGGCTCTGGGAAGTGGCTAGCCTCACACAGGCCACGGGGGCCTTAGTTAAATGTTGGCTGCAGGGGTCAAAATAGCGGGCTGCCCCTGAACAGGCGGGCACACAAGTTGGCTATGCCGTCATCTACGGCAAGAATCCTCCCTTCAGACCCAAAGCCCATCAGTAGGCCACTGGAGATCCCCTTGCAGAGGGGTCTCGGGGAGGACA